ATCCCATAGGCTGCCCACGCTTTCCGGATTCGATTTGCCATGTCGCACTCGCGCGGGTTGTCACGCGATACCAGACGCCCCAGGTATTTGATGGTCGCGCTTCGTGCCAGAATCTCAACGGTGATGTCGTCGATCTGCACGGTCTCGCTGGCTGGTCTCCCAGACTTCTTGAGTGCGCTTGTGAGAATAGTTATTGTGTCCGGGCGTAAACATAAACCCACTTTGGAGGTCACTTTCTTGATGTCTGACAGCATTCTCTTGATCTGGTGCAACGTCGCCCCCACGGCCAGCACGTCATCAGCGAAACGCAAAGTGGCGAGCAAAGTCTCACCGCGGATGTCTTCTTTCAAGCCGTACTTCTTTTTGCCTCACAGCTTTTTGCAAGGGCGCAGACAGTGCTCTAACAACGCATTGAAAAGAAAAGAAGATAATGGATCACCCTGCTGCGCCCCACGCTGCTTGTCGAACTTCGCTAAGTACATCCGCGCGCACCCGGCCACGTTGATCTGAATACAAGGCACCCAGAAGTCGAACGCAAGGCTCTGGGACGCGTTGGCTGCGGAAGGCATCTCAGAGAGCGCCGTGTTCAACAGTATCGAAAGCTTTCCGGAAATCCCAAGCGCAGAACTAAACCGCCTGCTGGAACTCGTCCGCATTTTCCTGAATGCACGACAATGCGAAGATATGGTCGATGGTCGAATAATCTCTCCTGAATCCGGCTCGGTCGCACGATTGCTCCGGACCCAAGAACTCCTCCAACCTTCCATACAAGAGCCGAGCAAATACTTTATATAATATTGGCATTGTGGAACTGGGTCTAAGTTGGACGGCTGCGTAGGGTCGCTGGCCTTGAACAATACAGTCATGAGTGCGTTTTTCCATTGAGCTGGGGTCGAGGCATTCAGCTCGATGATCTCATTGAACAGATCGAGAACATCGCGTCGCACATGATCACCGCCATATTTCAACATTTCCGCCACAATTCCTCTAGTGTCTGGGGCTTTCCCCGTTTTGAGCTGTTTGAGTACGCGCACCAGCTCCTCGTCTGAGAAAGGCGGAATGCAAGAATCCTGTCGGCCCCCAGGTTGCGTCGCCTGTTCGGTGCATTCCTGGGTCGCCGCACATAGGTCCGCATAGGACTCCGAGAAAACATGTGCGATCTCTTTGCGGCCCGTGCGCTCCGCCCCGCCCCCGTCGACCATCCTGATGATCAGTGTTCGTTTCCTCCGTGACTTCGTTGCTTTGATGCGCCCCAGCCCCCCGAACTCCCCCAAGATCTGCTTGATGTGTTTTCTGCGTTCTGCTGCTCTGATGGCCCTTACCCTGCTCCGGATCTGCTTGCTGAGCTGCGAGCGCTCGTTGCCGTTTTGGTGCGAGGTCGATCGTCGATCTTGTATTAGCTGTCGAAGTTCAGCAGCTTCGTGGTTAAGGATGGCTCCGAGTTTGGTGTCAGTGTGACCTCCGCAACGAACCACTCCTTGGCACGCAACAAAGCAGACTCTATCTGGGCGTTCGCACCGTCTATGTTACTCCACTCCGTAGTCCGGGTCACCTCGGAAATTTGCTCGTGGGCATGCTGTGTGAAACCATATGTGTAGCACAAGTATGTGATATGATGCCTTGGACGCTGCAGTCTGGGATTGTTTGTTGCTTTGGGCGGCAGTCGCAAGCTAGCTTGCGCAGCTCTGTGGTCTGAGCCCAAATCAAGAACGGCGCTGGACCCGGAGTTGGTCACATACCGGCGCATGCGCTTATGAACCAAAACCTGATCGATTTGTCGTGGTTGCCCGTTGGACAAGTAATGAGCGATTCGCTTTTGTGGCGGTTTTGAGGCGAACGTATTTGCAATGCTGAGGTCGTGCTGCGTGCACCATTGTTGAAGCCGCTGTCCCCTCCATGTTTGTGTGCCAAGTCCGCATGGCCCAACTGCATTGTCGGAGTCGTCTTCCAACCTGCTTCCCACCTGCGCCTTAAAGTCCCCACCACACACTAGAATCGTCTTCTTTCTCGTTTCCTGCTTTATGGCGGCTACTGTTGTGCACACCTCCTGTACATGTACGTCTTTGCAAGCGCAGTCAGGAAAATATGCAACTACAGCTCGCACAACGCGCGTGGAAGATCTGGTGTCAGCATCCCCAACTCTTTCGTTGATTGGAACAAACTTGAGAAGTTTACACGATTTGTGGATTAGTATTGCAACACACTTCCTCCCATCAGATGAACCGGCGGACCCTGCAAACGCATGGCCCCCGTGAGCCGTCCAAAGTTCTGCATCTCGTCGCCTCCAAGTTTCGGTAATCAAAATGATACCCCACCTTTTGGTCCCTGCTTCCGTCAGCAGCTCATCGATGCAGTCATCGTTGATAAGGCCTCTGGCGTTGAAGGCGACGACCTCAAGATTGCGGCGCCGAGTATATGTTGTTTCGTCCTCGCTGTGTCTATGTATCGCGGTGCCTTCATCTGCCACGTCGTAACATGTTGGAATCCTTGGCGGGCGCGGGCTCGAAGCAGTACCCGGAAAATGACGTAACGAAGCTATGGGGAAATCGCTGTTCACATGCTTGTAGAAGCCACGCCCTCCTCCTTCTGTTGTGGCCGTGTTTGTACTGGCACTGTCAAAAAGTGCACTTTCTCCAAATGCTATGGTCGGCGCAGGTCCTGATGCCAGCAGGCCGGACATGCAGCAAGGTAGATCTCCAGCAACCTCGGCATACTTACCCCTCCCTCCCCCCCTGGACGTAGTAGCTGACGTCGGTTGCACCTGCGAGTGCTGCTCCATCTCACGCAAATTTGGATCATCTTGAGGCTGTGCTCGTACAGGTAGATACGACTCGATACGTCGCCTTATTCCTCCCCCGACTTCCCCTCTTCCTCCATCCCGTACTTCTGGTCCAACGCCACGTCGCCGTCACTCGCTCTCTGTGTCCGGCTCCGGAGAAACCTTCTCCCGCCATTTCTTCATAGAATCGTCCAGTGCCTGTTGCACCAACCTCCCTGAAGCTGACGTGCACCAGTCCCCACTGTCAAACCATCCTACTCTTCTCTCTTTCCCGCCCGCGTCGATGATTACAACCATGCTCTTCGACCACACGATCTTCACACTGATCGCCTTGTTGTCTTTAAACTTCTCGTGGTTGTTCAGGTGGTGTTTCATGTACCCCAGCTGCTTCTCCCTGGCCCTCTCGTCCTTCGTGAGGTTGCTGCGGAAGAAAAATGTTTCCAGATATAAAATTTGGATTCTCGGTGTCCCGGACATTTTTGTAGAAATTGATTTTGTCCCGGACCGTCTGGAAACATAGGAACCCAATATTTGATGGAAATTGTGGGGCAGGAATCGTAACATTGTGTCCATCTCCCAACCATATGGCCAACACACTCTCCAGCTCCGAAACGATTTTCTCTGCAACGATGCGTTCCGCGCCAAGCCGGCAGCGAGCACCGGCAGGATGAGCTGCACCCGACGCATGGGCTCCTCCGCGGCGCCGTCGAACTCACCCAGCCGAGGGACACATCGCGATGCCAGCTTGAGCAGTGGGGCTGTCGCACGCTGCTGTGCGGCTTGAGCCAAAATTGCTACGGACCTCCTCTTCCTCCTCCACCTCCTCCTCCTCCTCCTCCTCCTCCACTCTTTTCTGAATCACTCCTATCTGTCGCACCCAGACTCGGATTGGTAGGGCGACCGACGGATTGGCAGGGCGGGCCGGGCGTTGCGTCTGAGACTTCCTCACATTTGCAAATAATTGCACGGATTGAGGGCGGATAGTTGTCAAAATATGGTTTTCGCCTTCGCGGCACACGCTGTCGTTGTAACAGTCTGCCAGAGCTTCACGGATGGAGGGCGGACCTTTCTCAAAATGTAACTCTCGCCTTAGCGCCGCGCGCATTCGTCTTAAAATCTTGCAAGAGCTGCACGGATGGAGGTGGACCAGTTTCAAAATGTGGCTCTCGCCTCAGCGCCGCGCACATTCGTCTTAAGAGAGTGCAAGGGCTTCACGGATGGAAGGCGGTTCCTTTTCAAAATGTGGTTATCGCCTTAGCGCCGCGCATATTCGTCTTAACAGTTTACATCAATGTCACAAACTGGTATGGCTGACGTCCAGAAACGGTTCTTAGCATGATGTAGGACTGTCACGGCGCAACACTCAAGTTCACTCGCGGTGTTAAGTTTCTGAAACGGCGTGCTGGCACGATTCAGGATCTCCAGGACCCAACAGTAACATGTGTTCGCGGCGTTGCACTCCCAGCCATGGTGTTTTGGCACGGCTCAGGATGTTTTATAGATTATCTTCCAACGGGGCTCTTCCCGCAGTGACAATAAATCGTTGTGGGGGCCTATGAAAAGGGAACTTGGAGGGAGGGTTCATTGCAACATCGTTGGTGGGTCTTGGGTTTACACTGGTCCTCCTCCTCTCTCCTCCTGTTTTCACATTTTTCGTCCCCTTCTCCAGCCGTAAAATAGATCAGAGGGGGCCGAACGGTCATGCACTGTGGGTTCCGCGATGCGGATTGTTGTTGCGTAACGTCGCCGCGACCCAGCCCCCGACCCACCCGCCACCCGCCCGTTACCCGCCCGCGGCCAGCCCGCGAACCACCCGCAATCCGCCCGCGACCCTGCCGCGACCCACCCGCGACCCGCCCGCGACCGCGCTCGTCCGCGACCCACCTCCGACCCACCCCGCGCCCGCCCCCATCACTCTTATCCGCAACCGCGAGGTGCTTCATAGAAATCGAAGCAATCCCCCGGAAATCCACGCCCTGCTTGCCGTTCGTGGGCACCGGCGGGTGTCGAGAGGCGGCCAAGTGGGGGGCGTGGACCCTGTTCGCCGAATCCTGGTTCGCCGGGACCCTCCCGTTCGCCAGGACCTGGTTCGCCAGGGACCCTGTTCGCCGGGACCCTGCTGACCAGGACCGCGCGTGTTCGCCAGGGGCCCTGTTCGCTGGCCACGCCCGCCGTCGCCGGCTCCGCCGTGGGGAGGGGGGTGGGCGGTCGCCGCGCGCACCTCGCGACCGGCGGGAGCATCCCTGGCTGCGCCGCCCCGCCCGCCAGGGGCGGGAGGGCCAGCGGCGCCTGCATGCCCCCCGCGGGGGGCAGCATGCCCCCCGGGGGCACCATGGGCACCGGCGCCCCGCCCAGCGGTCCTGCCGCGGGGGCGCGGCGGAGGAGAGCGGAGAGGAGGAGCAGACGGAGGGGGGACCCCCTCCCTCCTCCTCCTCCTCCTCCTCCTCCTCCCTCCCTCCTCCTCCCTCCCTCCTCCTCCTCAGTCATCCTAGTCCTCCTCCTCCTCCCTCCTCCTCCTCCTCCTCCTCCTCCTCCTCCTGCTCTTCCTCCTCCTCCCCCCACTTCTCCTCCGAGGAGGCGAAGAGACTGCCGCGCCGCGAAGAATCACGTGCGGAGCCCCAGGCCCCGTGTTCTACGCCACTGCTCGAGCCTCATCGATCTGTGATGGTCCCAGGGCTGGAAGCAAGGCAAACTCGCCACGTATGAAAAAATGCAACGCCAAGATCTCGGGGGAGAGAGGGGGGCGAGACGACCCGACTGTCCTACACTATTGGGGCCGACTCACACATAGCGTGAGTATGTTTATCGCCCACCGTTCCCCCCTCCCTCATGGGTACGTTCCTGCAGGCCGCAGTCACGTCGGATTTCCCTCGGATTCACGTCGGGCTTGCGTCGGACAACACACCGCGCGAAAGTCGTCCAGTATCTGACGGGGCAGACGTGTGGACTAAGTAAGACAACTCTTGCGCGTCGCGCGAGGCCTCCAGAAGTTTCTTCATAGCCTGCCCTTGGCTGTTCTCGGCATCCGGGGGCCCTCGTCGGGCCCCTGGACCCCCAAGCAAGACACCCAGAACGAGAAGCCGGTCGCCAGGAAGGGTCCGGATCGTTGGGGAGCCACGCTGCGAAAAAACGGAACGTCGGATGTCCGGGTCCACCCCCCCTCCACCCGCTGCCCCGTGACAGGTGTGCCGAGGGTAGCCAGTCCGCCTGCGGCGAGCCCACGTGCCAGGCGGTCGTCGCACTCTGCATTCGAGCTCTCCGCTCTCGGGGGCCCACTGGCGCACGGGCACAGGTCATGCCCGCATGGAGTCAACAGCTCCGTCCGCCTCCAACTTGCTTGCTTGAGCTTGCCTGCTTGCTTGCTTGAGCCAACGCTTCTGAGCGGCAACGATCCGAGAAAAAAACGTTCGGAACGCAGCGCTCCATAGAACAAAGGTCAGGCCCTGGTACTGCAGCAGCGCGCGTCGGCGAGAACGAATTGGCATCAGCCGCCTCCAACTCTCCTGCCTTTCCCCCGCTCCCCCGAGCCCAAGAAGCCCAGGGGGCCCTGGCAAAATGCGGCCTCCTGATGCGCCATCGCTGCATTCGAAACAAGGACCCAGCGCACAGAAACGGGGACTGGGACCGGAAAGGCTGGTCCCCCCCTGGCGACGCAGCTTGCCACGCCAGGCGGGAGGGGGAGGAGAAGTGCTCGCACAGAGCCATCGCAGCGAGCTGAAAAGAAGGACGGATGAGGACGCGGGCGCGGGCGAGAACGATGAGGAGGAGCAGCAGCAGCAGCAGCAGCAGCAGCAGACGAGGCGGCCTCAGCGCGGGGGGGGCCTCTGGGGATGCTCAGGCCAACAGTTTGGGAGACTCCGTGCGCCAGCGAGCGTCCTCTGGGCTTCAGTCGCCACGGGTATGCCACCCCCCTCATTCTTGGAGAGGGAGGGGCCATTGCTCAGGACAGAGCTCCATCGGACGGCGAGGAGGAGGAAGAGGACCAGCGCAACCCGAGACTGATCAACGAGATAACCAAAAAAATATCCCAGTGCGACCCTACATAGGAGTTGGAGCCCCTAGGAAAGCAGCATGTGTACGAACAGTAAAGCTAAAGCTAAGCTAAAGCTAAGTGAAAACTAAACTAAAGCTGAGCTAAAGCTAAGCTAAAGCTAAACTAAGCTAAGCTCAAGGTAAGCTAAAGCTAATATGAAGCTAAGCTAAAGCTAAGCTAAAGCTAAGCTAAGGCTAAGCTAAGGCTAAGCTACCGCTAAGCTAAATCTGAGCTAAAGCTAAGGTGCAGATAAGCTAAAGCTAAGCTAAAGCTACGGTAAAGGCTAAGTTAAAGCTAAGCTAAAGCTAAGCTAAAGCTACGGTAAAGGCTAAGCTAAAGCTAAGCTAAAACTAAGCTAAAGCTAAGCCAAAGCTAAGCTAAAGCTAAGCTAAAGCTAAGCTAAAGCTAAGCTAAAGCTAAGCTAAAGCTAAGGTGCAGCGAAGCTAAAGCCAAGCTAAAGCTAAGCTAAAGCTAAGCTAAAGCTAAGGTGCAGCTAAGGTACAGCTAAGGTACAGCTAAGCTAAAGCTAAGCTAAAGCTAAGCTAAAGCTAAGCTAAAGCTAAGCTGAAGCTAAGCTAAAACTAAGCAAAATCTAAAGCTAAAGCTAAAGCTAAACTAAAGCTAAGCTAAAGCTAAGGTGCCGCTAAGCTAAAGCCAAGCTAAAGCTAAGCTAAAGCTAAGCTAAAGCTAAGCTGAAGCTAAGATAAAGCTAAGCTAAAGCTAAGCTAAAGCTAAGCTGAAGCTAAGCTGAAGCTAAGCTACAGCTAAGCTAAAGCTAAGCTAAAGCTAAAGCTAAAGCTAAAGCTCTCAGAGGACTGGGGGAACCGCTCCCAGAGGACTGGGGGAACCGCCCGGGGCGTGTAGCACTGCCCGGCCCTTTAAGCTAACAGAGTAAGAACCCTTCTAGGCAGAGACTATGTAGGGAAAAACCTCGAAGTTCCCTCTTCAAAGGCACCTGCAAGGATTCATTTTCTCTGAAGGAAGGGCCCCGTGAGAAAATAACCGTTTGAAATTCCTGAACTGTGCCATACTACCTACCATTCCTGGGACTTCAACGCCACGAATCCCCGTTACTGTTGCGTTTTGGCGATCTGGAATCGTGCCAGTACACCATTCCTGGGAGTTCAACACGGCAAATCAACGTAGTAACTGTTGCGCTCTGCCACTCCGACATCGTGCCAAAACACCATTTCTGGGACGGTAACCATGAGCATCCTAGAAACTGTTGCAAGCACTTCAAACGAATGTGCGCGGCGCTACTGCGAGGGTCATTATTTGAAAAGAAGGAGCCCTCCATCCGTGGACCTTTTGCAAATGTCTGAAACGAATGTGCGCGGCGCTGGGGCGAGAGCCACAGGTTGAAAGCGGACCGCCTTCCGCCCGAGAAACACTTGCAAATTCTCAGCGTAAAGATCATCAATGGTGAGGAAGTCTCAAGCGAAACGCCCGGCCCACCCACCGACACGCCTCGGGGTGCGGCAAGGAGGAATTAGACACAAGGAAAACAATGAAGGAGGAGGAGGAGGAGGGCAAGTGCAAAAACCAAAACTCATCAGGGATGTTGCAGTCAACCCTCCCTCCAAGCTCCCTCTCCACAGGCCCCTACAAGGATTCATTAGCACTGAAATAAGTGCCCCGTTGGAAAACAAACGTTTGAAAATCGTGAGCTGAGACAGAGCACATCCTTGAAAATTTAACTCCGCGACTCACCGGTACTGATTGTTGCGCCCTGACGACCTTGAATCGTGCGGCATGGGACTCCCGTGGGGGGGCCCTCTTGGGCCATTTCAAAACGGTTTTTACTCTTCCTCCTCTTCCTCCTCCTCCTCCCCCCCTTCATCCTTTCATCCTCTCATCCTCCTCATCATTCTTCTCTTGCTCGTCCTCACCACCCACGCCCCGTTCCCCCTCCTCCTCCTCCTCATCCCCCCCTCCCCCGTTCCAAGGGAAAGCCATATCTTTAGGGAAACCCTGAGAAACAAAACAGAAAAAAACAAAGAAACTGAAGCGCTGGAGGCTGAAACTTTGGAAAAAACATTGGAAGAAAAAAATAAAAAAGAAAGAAAAAAAAAAAAGGAAGACCCGTCCGAAGGGACCACCTCATCCTCCTCCTCCCCCCTCCCCCCCGTTCAGCGGAACGCCATAACTTTAGGGAAACCCTGAGAAAAACCAAAGCAACCAAAGAAACTGAAGCGCTGGAGGCGGAAACTTTGGAAAAAAAGTAGATGTAAATATAATCATAGTACTAGTAATACTAATAATACTAATAATCCTAATAATACTAATAATACTAATAATACTAATAATACTAATGATAATAATAACAGAAAAATCCAGTGACACCCGCCCGCCCATGTAACCTCCCCTTTGAGGCGGACGGGTCTTCCCTGGAATCTTTGTTTTTTTTGGGGGGGGGGTCCAATGGTTTTCCCAAAGTGTCAGCCTCCAGCACTTCAGTTTCTTTGGTTATTGTTGGTGTTTCCCCGGGTTTACCTAAAGTTATGGCGTTCCGCTGGAAGGGGGGAGGAGGAGGATAACGAGGAGGCGGTGGAGGAGGAATCGCCTCCAGCAAAGTCCTGGCCTTCCTGCAGAAGGAGGAGCAGGAGGAGGGAGGAGGAAGGAGGAACCGAAGCGGGAGGAGGAGGAGGAGGAGGCGGCAACGCGAGCAGGCGCGCCGCACCTCGACTTCTGCATCCACATATGGTAGGAGGGGCATCCACAAGTGGACGCCCCACCCCCTGCCATATGTGGAACAGCCCGATAACGATCAAATGCTGCTGCTGGCACATTCCTCCTTTTTTCTCCTCTTCGAGTACTTTCTCCCGCGAGGGAGACTTGCGAACCATGTTTGTGTTCAAAGCAGGAAGCCATGCCATTTGCTTGGTTCGGGCCTTCGCCTGAGTCCTCGAGGCCACTCCACGGGGCACCAGGAGACGCGAGGGGACAACGCGGGACAAAGCGGGGGACACGAGGAGAGAACAAGGGGACGCGAGGGGACACAAGGGGGCAACAGGGGGACAACGATTGGGGACAATAGGGGACAACAAGGGGGGGCACCAGGGACAACAGGGGACACGAAGCAGGGGGCGCGAGGGGACAACGGGGAACGCCAGGGGACACACGGGGACAACAAAGGACAACGGGGAACCCAGCAGGAAACCAGAGGGGCGAACGAGGCGCGCAAGACGCAGGCGGCGAGAGTAACCCAAAAAATGGGTGACCAGCTTTTTGCGTCCATTGCCGCCCACCAGGGCTGCAAGGGGGATCCACAAAATGGATCCCCCCGCGCAGTCCCTTGGTGCTTGGTGCTGACACTACGCGCCGTCATTGCAAAACACCGTTCGTCACACAAGAGGGCGTCCTCCGTTACACACGGCCAGCAGTGATGGCGATGCATGCATGCATTAGTGCTGGCACCGCACCAGCAACCACGACACCAGACACCATCATTGCAAAAGATTTTCACGGCGCTACTCTGGAGGGCAGCCACAAAAAGGGCTGCCCCCCCTTGGCAGACGCGAACAACGTCAGTTGCAACACTGGAGTTCCAAGCCAGCAACGCAGCGAAGTGCCGCGTGGTGATGCATGGGCACCCGCACGCGGCGCGCACAGATTGTACACCACTTGCTGGGAGAGCTCTGCGTCGGAAAAGTGCGCGCCATAGGGGGGGAGGACGGGGGAGAGGATGGGGAGAGTGGAGGTCTCTCTCTCTCTCTCTGTCCCTCTCTCTCTCTATCCATCTCTCCACCTCTCTCCACCTCTCTCTCTCTCTCTCGCCGAACTCGCAGCTTCTTGCTCCCAAAGCGACAAGAGGGCCCCCCACGGGAGTCCCATAATCGTGCCAGAACACCATTCCTGGGAATTCTACACCGCGAATCAACGTAACTGTTGCGCCCTGACAATCCAGAATCGCGCCAGAACATCGTTTCTGGGAGGCTAACCATAAGAATCCTCGAAACGGCTGTAAACGCTTAAAACGAATGCGCGCGAGACTAAAGCGAGAACCACATCTTGAAAGAGAACCGCCCTCCACCCTTGAAAAGTTTGCAAAGAAGTATGACGAATGTGCGCAGCGCTTCGGCGACAGCCACATTTTGAAAGCAACCCGCCCTCTACCCATGAAGCTCTTGCAAATCTACAACCATTATGTGGTGTTGGGACCTCGTTTTGAAGAGACAACACCCCGCGTTCTCACCTTCCTCCTCCCGCTCCCCCCTCCTCCGTATGTAAACCAATCCGGCACAACCATCACTCGTTTCGTGGCTCTATAGGGAGCCCGCCCAAAAGCCCCAGTGGCACACCCCTCACACGTTTCGTGGCTCCATAGGGAGCTCCACCGAAGGCCCCAGCGGCACAGTCCGCATGGCGTACCCGCACCCGACTCGGCACACCCCTCACGCGCTTCGTGGCCCAGTAGGCAGCTCCACCGAAGGCCCCAGCAGCACGGTCCGCAAGGCGTACCCGCATCCGATTCGGCACACCACTCACACGCTCCGTGGCTCGATAGGGAGCTCCGACGAAGGCCCCAGCGGCACAGTCCGCATGGCGTACCCGAACCCTGTTCGGGGCACCCCTCGCACGCTTCGTGGCCCCACTGGGAGCTCAACCGAAGGCCCCAGCGGCACAGTTCGCATGGCGTACCCGCGCCCGACACGTTTCGTGGCCTCACAAGAAACTCCACCGAAAGCCCCAGCAGCACAGTCCGCATGGCGGACCCGCACCCGACCCGGCACACCCCTCACACGCTTCGTGGCCCAATAGGCAGCTCCACCGAGGGCCCAAGCGGCACGGTCCGCATGGCGTACCCGCACCCGATTCGGCACACCCCTCGCACGCTCCGTGGCCCTGAAGGGAGCACACGGAAGGCCCCAGCAGCACGGTCCGCATGGCGTACCCACACCCGATTCGGCACACCACTCACACGCTCCGTGGCTCGATAGGGAGCTCCACCGAAGGCCCCAGCGGCTAAGTCCGCATGGCGCACCCGCACCCGACTCGGCACGCCCCTCACACGCTACCTGGCCCCGTAGACCGCTCGACCTAAGGCCCCGGTGGCAGCGCCCGCATGGCGGCCCCGCCCAATTTCGGCACACCCCTCGCACGCTTCGCGGCCCCAGTAGGAGATCCACCAGAAGCGGTACACCAAACGACGGTTCCCACAACTGCATATGTTTCGGCCCTTCGCAAAGATAATTTGTACGACGAATGTGCGGCGCTTAAGCGAGAGCTACACGTTGAAAAACACGAGCCTTACATCCGTGAAACTCTTGCCAGGCTTGATGGCGAATGTGCGCGGCGCTACAGCGAGAGCAACATGTTCTTTGCATTGCTTTGTTTTATATGAGAACATATTATTCTTTAACAAGAAACTGATGCGCACGGCGCTAAGGCGAGAGCCACATTTTGAAGACCACCCGCCCTAAATTCGTTGAAGCCTTGCCAAATCTTAAAACTGATGGGCGCAGCGTGAGTTCAGGATGATGAATGGTGGGAAGTCTGGGTGCGACAGGGAGGAGTTATTCACAAGTAGAAAGACTTGAAGGGGGAGGAGAAGGAGAGAGGGAGGATGGACGAGGAAGAGGAGAAGGACAACGACGACAACGACTACGTGGAGCTTCCATGGATGGGCGGGGAAGACGGACGCGTGGAAGCCGGAGGCGGCCCAAGAGAAAGCTCCGAAGAGAGATAACGAGAGAGAGAGAGATACTGTCTGAGGTCCACGCGCTGGCATCATTCAATGTCGTTTGTCTCTCCAAGCTCGCCTCCGTTATATCGCCCACGGGACCCGCCAGCTAAATACATGTGTACGTGTGTATACCTATCCATACAAATGCGCATGTAACATTAAAAAATGCAGGAGTGCCCAAGAGGCCTCCAGGATGGCCCCAAGAGGCCCCGAAGAGGGCCTCAAGAGCCCCAGACGGACAAAGATGGCCTCAATACGCCTGCGATATGACAAAACGCAGTGAAATAACAACAGATTTCTTGTCGTGTGATTTCTCCGCGTGCTCCATACTTCGGCTCCAGGATGTCGAAAAAGTCTTTTCACGACGGCCCCAAGACAGCCCAGCGTTGCCGCAGAAGGTCCCCAGATGCCGGTCAAATCGCCCAGGATCGCCCAACAAGGCCCCAAGATGCCCCCAACAGGCCCCGACGATGGGGCCCCAAGACTCCCCAAGATGCCACCGACTGGGAGACGCCAAGATAAACAAAGAAGGCCCTCAAGCGGTACCAATTTGTCCTGGCGAAGATGCAGTTGTGAGTACCGTCGTGGTGTATCGCCTTCAGTGGATCTCCGAATGGGACCCCGAAGCGTGTGCAGGGTGTGCCAAAATGGGGCGGGGCCGCCATGCGGGCGCTGCCACTGAGGCCTGCACAGGACCTCCCGATAGAGCCACGAAGCGCGTGAGGGGTGTGCCGAATCGTGCGCGGGTACGCCATGCAGACTGTGCCGCTGGGGCCTTCCGTGGAGCTCCCTATGGGGCCACGAAACGTGTGAGGGGTGTGCCGAATCGCGCGCGGGTACGCCATGCGGACTGTGCCTCTTGGGCCTAAGGTGGAGCTTCCTTTGGGGCCACGAAACGTGTGAGGGGTGTGCCGAAACAGAAACATGTGGAGGGCACAGCCAAGGGGGGGAGGAGGGGGAGGAGGAGGAGGAGGAGGAGGAGGAGGAGGAGGAGGAGGAGGAAAGGGAGAGAGAGGAGAGGAGAGGAGAGGAGAGCAAAGGAGAGGAGCGGAGCGGAGAGGAGAGGGAGGGAGGAGGAGAGGATAGGAGAGGAGAGGAGAGGAGAGGAGAGGAGAGGAGAGGAGAGGAGAGGAGAGAGAGAGGAGAGGAGAGGAGAGGAGAGAGAGGAGAGGAGAGGAGAGGAGAGGAGAGGAGAGGAGGAGAGAGGAGAGGAGAGAGGGAGAGGAGAGGAGAGAGAGGAGGAGAGAGGAGAGGAGAGGAGAGGAGAGGAGAGGAGAGGAGAGGAGAGGAGAGGAGAGGAGAGGAGAGGAGAGGAGAGGAGAGGAGAGGAGAGGAGAGGGACGCGGGGCGCTGAGCTCTACAAAAAGAGGACACGGCACCACAGGATGGTTGGGAAATATCCGCAGCCGGGCTTCAGGGGGACCAGCGGCAGAGGGCGCATCCCTTCCATTATTCCTTGAGCTGCCTGGCCTGCCCTTCCGCTGGGCCGCTGGCAGAGCAAGGTCAAAGAATTGGGCAGAACACACGAGTGCGCACGTGGGGGTCGTCCAGCATGGGCCTATCTTTCCAAGCAGAAATACTTGCTGGTGCGTGGGCACCAAGTTGCATGCTTGCACATCGCAACGTTGCAACCTAGTGGCACTGCTGGTGCAGCTGTAACAGTTATTGCTAGTGCCTGAAAGCCGCCGCAAGCAATGAGCTTAGAACGCAAACTGTTGGCTGCATTCTGCGCGAACTTGAAACGAATTCTGTTTGATGCATTCTGCACGTCCTGGTCAGAGCGCGCATGCAGAACAACAAAGCGGACATGATGCAGTATCTGCATACCGCAGCGCTCTTGCGCCATGCTCCCACACTGTGCAGAACGCAAGAAGGGGCCCTGGGCGTAGGGATTGCAGTCTCTCCTTCCCCGAGCTCCCCATCGCCTCCTCCATTCCCATGAAGGCCCTGTTTTCCACCACCACCACCATAAGTTGGAGGAGAGGGGGTCCTCCTCCTTCTCCTCCTCCTCCACCTCCTCCTCCTCCTCTTCGTCCTCCTCCTCCTCTTGATCGTCCTCCTCCTTCCCCCCTCCAACTTATGATGGTGGTGGTGGAAAACAGACCCCTCATCCCAGCCAGCACCTGCGGAAAGGGAGAAAGCACCCGCCATCGAGCGGGCCAGAGGAGGCTCGGTGGTGGTGGGTGGTGGTGGCCCGCCCCGTCCCGACGCCCACCCCCTCCATGTCAATCCCCTCCTGCCTCCACGACCCCCGCAGGCTCGTGCAGTGCCGACTTCGGCGCTGGTTCCTGACACCGCGGGGATCGTCCAACCTTGAACGATCGGCCGATTCCGGAACGTCGGATCGTTCAATATCGACCGCATGTGGGTCGCTGGCGGCGTCCAACGTTGAACGCCAACGGCGGAACCGCTGCTGGTCGACACGACGCAAACCTGCCGTACATTCTCGCGCCCCTCCTCCCGCATTCCCTCCCCCCCCTTGCCCCCACCCCCTTCTCTCCTGCCCACCTTCACTCTGGCCCTTTCGGAGGGATGTGGCGATGTGTCCTGACGCACCGTTCAGGCCCGGCATCTGCGGCATGCCGCCAGGCAGCAGTTGCATCTTCCTCCCGCGGAACCCACCGGAGAGGCTACTAGCCTATTCTCTCGCCTCCCCTCTCCCATCCTCCCCCGCTTCCTCACATTCCCCCTTTCACCGTCCCGTGCATCCCTCCCCTCGTGAACCCCATATCCTCGGCCCCATTCCTGCCCCTCATCTGGTTCAACGCCCACATATCCTCTCTCTATCTCTATCTCTCTCTCTCTCTCTCTCGCTTTCACTCTCACTCTCTCTCTCTCTCTCCCTCTCTCTCTGCGACCGACTGCCCTTCGAACCTCCTATTGCATTCCCCCCTCCCTCCCCCCCCACGGGTGGCGGGGAAGAGGGTATACTCAAATCTTCACGAGCACGGGCTCCTGGGACCGAGAGGTGCGTTCCTCCCAGAACGGCACGAAATGGCACAGCACAGCACGGCAGCCACCGCACGGCGCTCATGGCGCGGCGCCAGCAGAGCGTCGCCCGCAGTCAGGCACCCGGCCGCACGGCGCAGCACCCGCTGGACGCCACGGATCTGCAGTGCCTGGCTTTCGTTGCAAGTTGAGGCGCCCGTGTTTGGGGTATCTTGGATTGCCAGGCTGGATTTCGTGGACTCGAGTCCAACACCTGAAGATGCACAGCTGTGCTGTGCGGTGCCGTGCTTGAGGCCAGAACTATGATTCGAGCCATGGTGGGATGCTCGGTCAAAGAACCTGGGATGCATGAGGCCTAGACGATTGAAGAGTGTTTAAGCCTTGACGGTTGCGAACTCTGGATTGCAAGGTATACGTTTAAGGGTTGTCATGTTCTGATAATGGCTGAACTGACATGCGAAGCGAAGGAAGTTCATCCTAGGCGGCGTGAGTGCTGATAATGTTGAAAATCATGGGCTTCATCGCATACCATCCAAAGTGTGATCGCTTCGGGTGCAGAGATCTGCGGATGAAGACTGCGAACATATCTTCTTCATGGGAAGGAAGTTGGAGGTGCAGGGTATACTGATTCAGCCTTTTACTACAGGGATCAGCCGTTCGCCTGAATCCCACCAGCCCTCTGGGCGACAGGTGGCCTAAGGATGTCTTTCTTTCCTCATCCAAAAACCTTTCTTCCCCTTCGGGGAGGGGTAATCACTGTTCCCTATTAATATACACCCCCTCCCCCAGGCGACTGGGAGCCAACCCAAGTCCATGAGGGGCCCCCCGCCACCATCCCTTGTAGAAAACCATACAAAACACAGTCTGCCCCCACCATGCCTGGTAAAAAACAATGCGAAACACACTGTGTCTCCAAATTCGGAACATGCGCAGCGAACCCAATGCGGCCTCCCCCCACCATCCCTGACAAAAAACAATACAGAGTACACTTGGCGGCGGCGGCGGCGGCTGCGGCGGCTGCGGCGGGGGCAGCGGCTGCGGCGGCTGCGGCGGTGGCGGCGGCGGGGGCGTCGGAGGCGGCGGCGGCGGCGGCGGCGGTGGCCGCAGCGACTGCGGCGGCAGCGGCTGCGGCGGCGGCGATTTGGCAGCGGGGGCGACGGCGGCGGCGGCGGCGGCGGGCAGCGCGGCGACGGCGGCAGCGGCGGACAGCGGCGGCGGCGGCGGCGGCGCAGCGGCAGCGGCAGCGGCGGGCGGCGGCGGCGGCGGCGGAGGCGGCGGCGGCGGCGGATTGGCCCCCAGTAGCTGGCCATCCAAAGACGACTGCTGCATATGCTGCGGCTCGGGCCAGGCTCGGGTGCTACGTATGTGTTGGGAGGGCGGGTGGGAGTGAGCGAGACGGCTTGCGGGCGGGGAGGGCGTCTTGACCCCTCCCTCTACCCCCTCCCCTCGACCTGGACGGGAGGGACCGCGATCGGCTGGAGGGTCCGTGTTCGGCCCCTGGGAGGGCCAATTTTTGACACCCCTCACGAGGATCGCGGCCCCCGAGTTGCCAAGAGGTGTTGAAAGTCGACCGAACTGGTTACCGTTTCACTGTTTGGGGGAGTCTCGTCGGGCGGCCCAACACCGTGCCGTGGACACACGACGGAGTGTCTTCGAGCCGCCCATAATCGGGGGCGGCCAAGAGGGGGGCGCTCAAGGGGGAGGGGGGGGTGCGCAGTTCATGGCCGGCGGCATGTGCGCGGCCCAGGGACGGAAATAAGAAGAGGAAATAAGAAGAGGCGCCATGAAATCTGGGGAGATATCATGGCCCCCGCCATGAGATCCACCCCCCCCTAGTCACCACCCCCCTCTTGGCCGCCCCCGACATAAGACCTCAATACCGAAAAATATATTTAAAAAGGGAGGCCAGACCCCGAACTTACCACATTTCTGTGGTCGACTGCGTGATTTGCCCAAGAGGCCTCGAGAGCCCATAGGAAATCCTCACTTCCCACGGGTCCTAAGATGGCCCCAAGAGTTTTGAGGCTCTCTTGGGGGCCTCTTTGGCCGTCTTGAAAGGCCTGGGGCCCAGAACGACAGAACAAAACATCTGAAAAGTATTGGTTGTTGTATGATATTCACGTTCCCAGCCGTTCTGTTTCAAGAGTGTCCGAGACGGTCCCCGAGATCGCCCCAAGACGAGCCCAAACATCTAAGAGGGGCCCAAGACGTCCTCAAGAGAGCAGGTCTCGCGTCCACATGGACCGAAAGTCATCAAATGCTGTTTCTGCACGTGTTTTGCCCGTCCACGTGGCTGCACACGGCATGTTATTCGCCTGTTCTGTGTATAATCCTTGCGCTTGTCCTACGCAGCCCGCCACAAGTACATAGTGAGTCTGCATACGCATCGTATATGTGATGTGCGTGTGTCAGTTGCGTCTGCTGATTTGTGTGCCATACCATGCGTCGAGCTGGTGTATTAGATTGCTGTTTAGGCGGCTCCTGATAACTATGTGTCTGTATGGTGCACCTGAAATTTGTATGTGTGTTGTATTGTGTATGTGTACCAGTTGCTGCTGTCATGTGTGCGTAGTATGTGGGCGCTATGAGTCGTACCTGGACTCCGTGAATGTTTAGTGTACCTGCCTGCATGATGGATCCGGCAGTGTGCCTTCAAGGTACGAGATGGAGTGTCCTCAGCTCCTTGGCCTGCTCCCGCAAGCCTCAGTCCTTAATCCTGAGGAGTCTCTCAGGAGCCCGGACCCCGAATTCACAAAGACGGCCCCAGGAGAGGCCCAAAAGGAGCCCAAGAGAGGGAACACGAAGCGGAAAACTGAACTTTTCACCCCAAGAGGCACCAAGGCCCAAAAAGGCCCCAAGAGGCCCAAAAGAGGCAGTCTCCCACGAGGCCCAGGAGACCCCAAAACAGACCCCCACAGGCCCCGAGAGGCCTCGGCGAGATGCCAACGAACATTCAAGAAACCTCAGACCCAAAACCCAGGCACGCTGGCGGGATGAGCCGAAGGCCATGAGACCTGGGGCCGGCACGGAAACGGAAAAAGCGCTTCAGCAACCTGCCCGAGATGGCTCATGGCACCCTTCGCTCTTGGAAGCCTTGGTGTTAAGAACTAGATGTGGCACCGCTATCTGTTGGGAGCCCTAGTGTTCAGAGACTTTTACGTTGCCACCCGTTCTTGGACCTTGGAGGTAAGAGCTTGTTGCGTCACCGCTCGTTATTGGGAGCCTTGCTGGTAAGCGCGTGTTACGTCGCCGCTCTCCGTTGGGAGCCTTGCTGGGAAGAGCTTGTTGCGGCACCGCTCTCTGCTCAGAGTCATCGTGCCCAGAGATGCGTACGTTGCCGCTCGCTCTTGGGAGCCTTGCTGGTAAGCGCGTGCTACGTCACAGCTCTCAGTTGGGAGCCTTGCTCCTCCTCCTCATCATCATCCTCCTCCTCCCTCCTCCTTCCTCCTCCTCCTCCTCCTCCTCCTCCTCCTCCTCCTCCTCCTCGTCCTCCTCCTCTTATTATTATAATCAGTACGAATACTAATAGTATTATTATTACTATTATCCTCCTCCTCCTCCTCCTCCTGCTCCTCGTCCTCCTCCTCCTCCTCCTCCTCCTACTCCTCCTCATCCTCCTCCTCATCCTCCTCCTCTTCCTCCTCCTCCAACTCCTCATGACTCATCCTCCTCTTCCTCCTCCTCTTCCTCCTTCTCCTCCTCATCCCTCCTCCTCCTCCTCCTCCTCCTCCTCCTCCTCTTGGCGGTCCCCCACCTGTTGGGTAGCGAGAAGAGTTTCCAACTTCAGTGGGGTCTTTCGATACTGGCTGCACGGCGGCTCGCAAGGCTTGACGGCCTCTCTGAAAGACTGGGAAACAGGTTGACCAGCCCCCCAACAAAATGCAGACGATCCGACCTCGCGACTGGCTGCTCTAGAAACCACCTGGCCACGTGGGCGACAAGCCGAACACCCGACCAATTCCAACACCAGCAGATCTGAGCTCCATCGAATCGCGAACTCGGTCGGAAACGGCACGGATCGCGCCCGAGCTGGCGCGGAATCGGACCGTCGGGATCGGATCGCGTGGGACCGCGGATCGGGCTCGGCCCCTGCAGGCCAAAGCAAGAGCATGTTCGTGCAGGATCGGGCCGGATCGAAGTCAGGGGATCGGGTTGGAATCGAAATTGTGGATCGGATCGGACCGGACCGTGAGCAGCCCTGCCCCAACCAACGTGTCGAACGACCATCCGCCAGCCCAGCCAACAGACCCACTACCAGCCGACGCTTGGAGGGTGAAAGAGGGGGTCTGCAACAGGGGGTCTTCAATGGGGGCTGAATGGCCCATGTATGCTCAATGTATCGTTCGTGTATGTGATCGGGTACGATTGGCATCCAATGCTGGCGGTCATTGATGGCCAGTCATTCGTGCCCGCGCGTTGCCCGCGCGGGCACACGCGCCGTCCATCCATTATCGTTCATGCGTGCGGGCGTTCTTGCATATTGCGTGTGGGTCGGCGAAGTGGAGTGCAAGTGTGTCTTGATTGTGCGGTTGATGATCGCGTATGTTCCCAAACGGTGACTTCTCGACCCCCAAGACAAATTTGGAATGGGCCCCGCGATTCTCCCAAAATGTGAATTCACATTTTCCTTCTTCCCAAAATGTGAATTCACATTCTGGCCCCTTCATAAAGAATCCTACATAAAAGTCCAAAATGTGAATTCACATTTTCCTTTTTCCCAACATGTGAATTCACAGTTCCCTTTTTCCCAAAATGTGAATTCACATTTTGCTTTTCCCCACAATGTGAATTCACATTTTGCCCTGGCCTTCTAGATCCCCAAAACAGAGGCGCAGTGTTCCGCATGTCAGATTGGCTGGGCAGATTTCGACACTCACCTGACCGCTTTCGTGTGTTCCAGCCTTTTCTTTTTGCGCCCTTAGCGCACGTTGCCTTCGTCGCCTTTCCCGAGCCCCCCTCCCCTTGCTTCCTTTCCCCTCAAGTCTCGCGCGCGGGTGCAGGCGGGGGGCTTCAATTAGTTCCCCCGCCGAACACAGCAATCGAGGATGTATCGCCCATTCATGGCCTCAAAAAACATCATTGCCGGGACCCTGCGCCCGACCCCCACTTTCACCCTCCAAGACGCGTCAACCGCCCACGCAGCCGGCCGACGGCCCTGCCAACCGACCACCCAGCCGACCAGCGCAACAAGCATGCAGACGGTCGGCCCCTGGTGAATGCTTCGAACGTGTGGCATGTCGAGCGCTGGACCCGACATGACGAAGAAAGCAGAACACAGCCCCCCTGAAACCCTCCCAAACGCACTGGAACCTCCTCGGACCTTCCTCCTCCTTCCTCCTCTTTCTCCTTGAGGGTGCAGGCGCGGATGCGGGTGTGGGCGTGGGTGTGGGCGTACAGCGTAGAGGAGTTGAAAGAGGTGGCGCCGCCCAAGTTGTTCGCGTCACAAGGGCTCTGTAGTGGAGCGGCGGTAATGGCCAACGCGGGGTCACACGGCCCCGTTAGGTCACGGGGCCAATTCGCGTTCACACCAACCCCGTTTGGCTCCCGAGGGCTCGCCCCCGAGGGCCCCCGAGAGGGGTCCCGCAACATGCCCGCCAAGACGGGTGCGTGACTGCCGCAACTTGGCAATGCTACACACACTGCACGCGGTCGGGTCAGAGGAGCAGGAGACGGGGAGGCGGCGTAGCGGAGGACCACGACGACGAGAAGGGAACAGGGACCAGAACTCAACCGCGGCTGTCCGCCGTTCGGGGGGGGCCACCATCCTCTCGCCAGGAGGCAACAGCGGGTAGCCCTTGCTCGCAAGGGCCTCCTTGATCATCTCCTCGGTTTTCTGGACGTCGCCGATGATCGTCGCAGTGCCCTCGGGATCCTGCAGACATTGTGCGAGCGACACACCGGCAGTCCACCGAAAAGACAAAGTCAGCCAAGCACGCAGCTGTGCACAGATTCGCGCGCACTCCCCAGAAATACGCACCACCGTCTTGGGAAGCTCAGCAGGCGAGTACCAGTGCGCGCCTGCCCTCCCGCCCCCCCCAAAATCCCCACCCTCCCCCGCTCACGCACTCACTCCCCTCCATTCCTCTCTTCCCCCTCCCTCCCCTCCCCTCCGTCCGTCCGTCCCTCCCATATTATGCATCCTTCTCTTCTCTGTCGACCTACCGCGCAGTCCCATCAATAGACTCCTCCACTTCCTCCCCATCATTCCGCTCCTCCTCCTCCTCCTCCTCCTTCTCCTCCTCCTCCTCCTCCCGTCCTGGTGCCACGAGCCAAAGGCGACTGCGGAAGACGAGGCGCATTAGGCAACAGCGACAACAAAGGGGGGCCCACCTCCACCTCCGACCTCACAAATCTGACTCGATGCAGGCTTTGCAGATGCGATAGAAAAGCCATCGCTATCTGGGCGTAGATGGTTCTGCCAGCTCTTCACAAACAGCTCCTTCCCATTCGACCCCCTCTGGGGTCTGGTCCCGAGATGGGGTCCGCGGGTGAACAGAGCGTCCGTCTGGATCCTAGATGGCTCCACGATGGCCCCAGGTGGGCCAAGATTCCGCCCGACAATCGCGCAAGATGGCCTAAGGTGGCCAGATTGACTCCAACATGGCTCCAAGAGGTCCCAATGTGGTTCGTTCATAGCTGGCCAACAAGCCTGCCAAGTGTCCCCCCGAGAACAAAAGAAATCAGAAAAAGCATGTCATGTGATGTTCGCCTTGTCGGGTCTTCGGATCCGGATGGGCCTCTCAGGCTTCAGTGCTGCAAGTTGGCCCAGGAGGACCCCAATAAAGCTGTCCACGCCCCCAAGAGCACCCCAAAAGAGCCCCAAGTTGGCCCCAAGCAGCCTCCTCGGGGGTGCAAGTTGAATGCCCCGCCCTTTGTGTCGCTGGTCTTCAGGGTGGCTCCCCGAGAGAGGCCTCAAGAAAGGTCAATATGGCCGCACATCCCAGAGCCTCGAATTGGCAATCTGGGGGGAGCTGCTTGGGCCAATGCATCCTTCGAGGTTGCCCCCCTCGTCGTTTCGATTGTGATCCTTCACTGCCCTTCTCACGACAGCTCGTCAAGGAATCGCTTCTGGATGGGTTGCTGGAAATAAGCGAGGCGCCAAGAGTCATGCGGCCCGAAACGGACCCCCTCCTGAGGCACAACACTTGAAAGAAGCAGCCGTTCCACCGTTCTCGCGGCGCCAAAGATCTGGGTCCTCCTCCGCGTTAACTGGCCCCTGGACCACTCTTGGGGCGAGGTCTGGCCAGAATTTCCACACGGATCCAGCCGTGGCGACGAGGACGTCACAGAAGGCCCAAACAGACCCCAGAGACGTCCTCAAAACTCCGACCCTCGATCCGCGATCGAGCGAGCGCCGCATGCGACTAACGTCAGGTGCGAGCGACTCTTGGTCGGGGTGTTCAACAATGGTACGTGAGACGTTAGTCTCACCTGCCTCCACGCTACGCGAGGAAGGCTGCGCCTCCTCTTCGTATTGTGCGTAGCACCAAAGTCCCCGAAGCGCATAACATGCATACTTGGCTGTTGTTTTCTCGCCTCCTCGCTCCCGATGGGCTCCATGGGACCTCAACATTGAGGGACCCCAAAGGACCCCAGGCGAGCCCCATGAGCGTCCCAAACGCACCCAAGAATATGCCAAGATAATCCAAGAAGCCCCAAAAAAACTCTAACAATCCGCCGATCCCCCGCTTTCCGTGTTTGCCTCCTCGCCGTCGTCGCCTTCCTCCTGTCGTCCCTCTTCCCCTTTCCTGCAGTGGTCGAGTTCTGCCGCGGGGTGAGAAGGCGCGTGAGACATGTGGCTGTCTCCCTCCTCCCCGTTCCCCCCCCCCAGGGTCCAACACCCCGTTGGAGGGGAAGGAGGGGAGAGGGAAAGGGGGCCACGAGCTCAGGCTCCCAGGCTCCCAGGCTCCCAGGAACTCCAAATGCACCCTCTGGCGCCTCCAGCATGCCTAAAATGCCTTCCAAGACGCTGAGGACAGTCTTCATCACGCCGACGAGCCGGGCGGGGCGGCGTGCGAACACCGCCGCTGGGGCCTTCGTTGCCCACGGGACCACGAAACGCGTGAAGGGTGCCACGAAACGGACATGCGGAGGGCGGAAGCAAGGAGAGGAGGAGGATGCGGAGCGCAGAGGCAAGGAGGGGCGGAGGGAGGAAACGAGGAGCGCTGCGGATTCAAAACGAGGATCACAGTCAACGCACGGGAGGACTGGGGCAAAAAGCGTCACGACTCAGCTCGTCTTAGGGGTCGGCGGAATGGCGTAAGCCTCTGGTGTGCAACACTGGAGCCCAACACCAAAGGTGGAAACGGGGACGGCGACGGGGAAGGAGATGGCAGCGGGAGACGGAGGGCAACGGAGAGGGGCAGCCAAGGGGAGCGCAACGGAGGACGAGAAGACTGGAGACCCCACCTCCGAGGTCAGGGCCTCCCGCGAGTCCGCTGGCCTCTGCGTGCCTTGCGAGGGCCTCTGGGCCAGGGGCATCCGCCCCCGCATCCTCTCCCCGATTACGGCGGGACCTGGGACAGAAAAAACATGATTCAAGAACATGAGACCTTCCGCTGGCCAGAACATCCCCCAAAACTAAGACCCCTCGAGGGTACCCTCCCCCCAGGATGCACAAGAGCATCCAACAAGAACGAAGAACAGTAGGGTACTCTCCCCGAACCGACCTGGATCTCATACCTTAGGTCCGACCGTATTGCTCCTTATCCCCCACCCCCACTCGTCCCCTCCCTCGCCTCGTTCAACCTCCGTCAGCAGCTAGAGGGACAAAACAGTGCATGAACATGAATTCTCGGATGTCCGCGCTGATTTCCTGGATCTGCGCTGGACCCCCTCCCTGGCGCGCGGAACGCGCCAGGGGCAGCGCCAGAGGCACCGTCAGGTGGGCCCAACCCCGATCCAAGAAATCGGTGTGGAGCTCCGAAAGGTTATGTTGTTGCAGTGTTTCTCCTTCGACTCTGTCAATAGCAAGCATGGCCAAGTCAAGGAGCCGTCCGTGGGCACGTGCTCGATCTTGATGTCCGCGCCGCTCCTTTCCCGGATCCCCTTGATCGTCTCGCCACCCTGCCACGGCGCGGCGGTGGAGGGCAGGATCCCTGCGCTGCAGCCTCTCTGGAGGTCCCTGCTGCGAGGATGCCGACTGCGACAGCGAAGCACAGGCGTCAGAGAGCATCGTCAACGATCGCCTCGCGAGGGGCACGGAAGGTAATCTGGGAAGCAAAGATGGCATGAACATAAGCTCTCGGAGGTCGGCGCGGATCTCTTGGATCGGCGCCGGAACGCCCTGACGGCGCCACTGGCGTTCGCCGACCCTGGCACGCTTCGCACACCAGGGACGGGGGGTCAGCGCCGATCCAACAAATCCGAGCCGATCTCCGGGAGTTTGTGTATGTGCTATGTGTTCCTCGAGGTACAACACGAATGCAGCTCAGACAAGCGCGGTCACAAGCGCCACGAATACAACTCAAGAGCGGCGAGCGCAGCGCGCTGAGCTTCCCCCATCTCAACACGACGGAGTGCGAGAGAGGGGAGTCACGCGAGATGGAGGACGCTGAACAGAGAAGGACATGCTGACCACACCGCTCTGCCATAGACCGCATCATTACTCTCCCATCCCCATTCCTCCTCCTCCTCATCCTTCTCCTCCCATGAGGAAACAGGCGATGGTGAATGTAGGCGATGGTCCCGAAGTGGCCCACAGGACTGAAAGCTTGCTGGCATAAGCTACTCTACGATTGCAGCCTAGTGGAAGAGAAAAACTGGAGACACCGATCCCCAGCACGAGACTGGCCCCTGGACCAAAGGGAACGTGCGGGAACAAATTGTGGATGTCCGCGTGCCAGATTCCCGATGAACAACGCGCCCGCGGGAAGCTTTAGGGGGCAGGGGAGCAAAGAGCAGAGGGAGGAGGACTTGTCTTTGGAAGGAAGAGGAGGAGGAGGAGGAGGAGGAGGAGGAGGAGGAGGCGGAGGCGGAGGAGGACACTCGACCCCTGGGGGGGGTATCAAAGAGCAGGCGGAGGGTGGCCTCCGCAGAACAGCCAGACAACTCACATTCTCGCCGCAGTGGCACTTGTTCGCCGTGGGCACCGACGCGCGTGCCTCCACGACGCAAAACTCGCGTGCCTCTACGCGCAGACAGCGCGCCTCGGCGTGCGTGCGCCCTGCAAGCGCAAAATGCGCAGCTCGGCCTGCGGAAATCACCAGCGGGGCAGGACGAGGTCCCCAAGTCTGGCGTCCAGGGCACGCGTGCCGCAGGGGACAGGGGACCGAAGGCCCGACAACGGGACCCGTCGCTGGCCTTTGTCCGAAGGTGCAGACCTGGCCAGAATTTGGCGAGGCGGCTATGCACCGTCCAGCCGCGCACGCATGGACCGCGGCAGTGCTGGGCAAGGTCTCGCGTGTTGTCCCTCGAATGTGATCGGCACGCTGAACCAAGAGAACGAGCGGGCCGACATGCCAGAATCGGTGGCCCAGAGCGTGCTGGCGCCGGGCGTTCCTGAGGGTATTGGCGTCCTTCGCCACCCGCAGGCAGCGGACGCAGCGGAGATGACTCTCGAATGATACCATTTCGCGCGTATCTGGCTCAGCCTCGAAATACGCTGAGAGACTTCCTACCCCTACTTTCGCGCGCAGCATGACGGCTGGAAGGTCGAAGGTGCGGAGCGCCCACCGCCCTGAGGGCACAAACGAAGAACTCGCAGATATGTTGAGAAAGGCTAGCGGGTGGCTTTACTCTGGCGTGAGCAGTCTGGTCGCAAAGATGCAGTACCGCCCCCTCCCTAGTAGCCTGATCAGCGCACATGTTCCCAAACCACAATAACCTCTGGCAATGTCGGGCCGCACGTCGTCTCTAACGAGTGCTTGTCCTTCAACACTATCGACCGCACCCCCCCCCCCACCACCACACGTCGTCCACACGCTCCCACACCTTCAGCCATGAGGTCGGCATCGGGGCACATGCTGCTGTGCCGAAAGAGGCGACCACCCAATCGCCGTCGGACCTACACAGAGACGGGCCAAGCGAGACGCGAGTGAGATACATGGGGAAGCTGAACAGCTCCGCCACTTCTGAATCCTGGATGAGACCTGGGAGGGGTCCACAAAGGGCGGCCGCGAGGTCAACGCCGCTGCCGCTGGTCTGGACTACGGACCACGCTGCCCTCTCGCGGCGGGGTTCGAAAGCGAGGTTGGATCCACAGGAACACTCACCAAAAGTTTCGCCCTCCAAGTGGCCTCCAAGGGGTTGAACGCTCCAGCGCACCCGGAACTCCAGGACGGGCAAGGAGCACCAGGGAACTGGGCCGGGCAGACGCCATGGCCCCCGAGTGCCCAATCGCCGTTAGCACGAGCTCACTCACGCAGGGACTGGGGCTGAACTAATATCGCCGAGCCCCACGCGCGAAGGCAGCCCCAAATACACAAGAGGCCCACACCGCACAACTCGCACGTGGAGCTATAATGTAGTCCAGCCTTGAACTTCCGTTCTTGGCCCCAGAATCCCACCAGCCCTCTGGGCGTAGGTGGTCTAGAACAGATCCTCTTCCACCCCTCCCTCTTCCCCCTTGGGGAGGGGTTTACCCCTCCCCCTACCCCCTCCCCTGGACCTGGACGGGGGGGGCCGCGGGTAGTTAGAGCGTCCGGAAGCGAAAAGGCGAGAAAGCAAAAATCATTGATTTTCCTTAGGTTTTGGGACGATTTTGGCCTCTTCGGGGCTTCCGAGGGGGGACGCTAATTAAACCCCCCCTCTTGTTTGATCGATCTCCTCCAAGATGGCCCCAAGAAGCGCCCAGGAAGCCCCAAGAGGTCCCAAGATGGCCCCAAAATGGCCCCAAGAGGCCCCCAAGAGGCCCCCCGGAGGCCCCCAAGAGACCCCCAAGAGGCCCCAAGAGCCCCCCCAGATGCACCCAAGATGCTCCAAGAGGCCTCGGCGAGAATGCCTAATCATTGATTCTACACAGGTTTTAGCCACATGGAGGCCTCTTGGGGGGGGGCACGGATTAAGATGACTCCAAGAGCGTCTGGGAGAGCCCAAAATGACCTCCAAGATGGCTCAAGATATCCCAAGATGTCTCATAATGGCTTCCTCTGTGTGCTGCCCACTTCTCTGATCGAGGCAATTCCTCTGGGCATCGTTTCTGGATGGGCTGGTGGGGATTCGCGAAGCGACAACAATTCATTCGCTGCCAAGCGTTGGACTGTCGCCTAGAGAGGACAGGTCTGGGCTATCTGAGCGGGCCTGCCTGAACAGCCAGTCCGGCTCGGCTTGACTCGCGATCTTCTGCGTCGCCCCAGGGCAAACAACACTCAAATCAACAGAATCTCCCCGGGCGGTGCGAAGGCTGGCCAGGCCAGGACCGAGAATCCAGCCGATCCTGCGGCGCGACATGAAGGCAGCAGCCACTAGGCCATGGACAGCGGCCCACTCGAGGCCTGGTTAGCATTCCGACAGGCGCTCCGTTTTCCGCGGCCGACAGAACGGCCCCCATACAAGCCCGAGGAAACCAGCGGCGCCAGAAAGATTGGGCAAGATTGGGCCCACCGTGCACGTGAAAGCTGGATGAATCGTCGCCGGGCCACTTGCGGCCAGCGCTAAATCCAAAGTGAGAGATCGGCGGCCCGCGTGAAAAAAGTGCGATATGGATGGCGCGCGCGGCGCGGCAATCTTCGTCGCGCGAGAGCGCTGCTCGATCAAACTGCGCAGCTCTACGGCCAAAGGCCCCGCCCCGTTTGAGAGATAGCGGCGGCGGCAGAGCGGGCACGAGGAAGAGAGAGCGGAAGCGAGGCAAAAGAGGGCGAGCCTTCTGGAATCACACCCCTCCCGCGCGGTGCCCAAGCGGCGCCAGGCGGGCGCGCGAGGCGCCAGAGCAAGAGCAGCCGGGCACGTAGTTAAGCCTGGCGCTATCTTCATTGGGCGGAGCGCCAGGCGCGCCGGCAGAAGGCGAGCAAGGGGCTCGACACGGCTTTCATAGCAGGCAGCCCTTGGGGCACTCAAGCGGATGCACTACACGCGACCTGCAGGATATTCTGGTCAGCCCTCAGCGCCGCCGGCGCTATAATCCAAGCAAGGCAATGCTAGCAATGGCAGGAGTTCGATCGCGAAGCGACAACACCCCCAAAAAAGTATATCATCCGGATAAGATGTGACTGGTTGCGATCGCCATCACAGATTTGAAACAAAACTTGCGCACTCTAAATGAAGCTTCTCTAAAGGCGGATTCACGTGTAAATATATAGCTAGGTGTGAAAACTGAGCAAATGCGGACTTACATAAACCTCTAGCTGGGTGTGAAAACGGAGCAACAATGCGGACCCACCTAAGCGGGGTCGCAAGAGGCGACCGTCGATAGCATCAGCAGCAGAATATCAGCTGGTTCGACCGGCCAACCTGCCGTCTGAACACCAAGCGGAATTTGTCTTTCCTTCTTGGGCTTTGTCGGTTTCTCCATCAGGTGAAGTCCGCGCCAGCAGTCCCTGTGGAACCGGGGAAGCCATGACGAGTGCTTCTTGCAGGTCTTGCAGGTAATGTAGACGCCATGCGGGTTATGTCCGATTCTGAAATCATGGCGGGGGACGGCGGTCACACAGTGGAGCATCGCGTTCGACGATGCCGTCGGTGAGGGACCGTTCCACGAAACCACACTCGCAGATACTGAATTCGATGGACTCGATACGGCGACTACGCTTGGTGAGGTAGGGGCTGCACCCGAACTCTAAGATCTCGCTGACTTCGATCGTGCTGATGTTGCGGTAGGTGGTGCGCTGGCAGGCGGTGGTTCTGGCGGCAGCAGCGGCGGCGGCGGCGCTGGCATCGGCGGCTGCGACGGGCGGTGTTCAGAAGAGGCGCCCGAAGCCGATGCCGATGAACTCGATGCCTGCGCACTGATGTGTCCAGCGGAGGGGTACATCGCGATGTCGCCGTCGTAATCACGATCCTCGGGGATGGCAGCTGGAGTGTTGCGGCGCCGGCCAAGCACGCGGCCACCCCAGCCGGGGCGCTCGCCCATTGCCTTCGCCTCGGCGACGTGCTCCTCGGTAGCGATCATGTTGTTCTGCCTCATGATC